GCTGGCTGGGGAATTCTGGGAGTTGAAGTCCTCCAGGCTTAACGTTACCAAGGTTGGACACCCCTGCTATAGATCTATGGCAAACATTTTTTGCTTTGTTCTCCCTGTTGCATTTAGCTTCAGAGCGCACTCAATTCCAGCTTTAGGTTTCACTGTATTGAAATGCACAGGGACGGTTTTCCATACGCTGTCCAGTGAGCCGTTCCTCCGTGGTTAATGCGGCATCGTTGCAGCCAGTCGAAGTAGATTACAGAAGTGCATTGTGAGGCTTTCAAGTTAACTGGTCTACAATAGGTTCCAGCACCAAGCAGAATCTGGTTATGGGAGGCCATGAAGGTTGTAGCTGAACTGGAAAGAAAACCATAGCAAAGTTTCTGCACTGTGCCAAATAATCCCACATGGCTGTTGTAACCAGTGACTGAGCTTGACAGGAGAGAGATTTTAACTTAAAACATTGCAAGTCGGAAATCACTGGAAAACTTTGCATTGTACCCCTGGCTCCATTCAAGGCATTCCTCTCCAAGGGGAATGGAAAATGAGCCTTGCTTAATACTGTATGTGGGAGTTTATAGTACAAGATGTCGTGCAGACCCCTAGAATGGGTTAATTCAACAACCAAGTCAAGACCATTGTGCAGATGCAGCCTGTATTTTGGGTGACTGTTGTGGAGCCACTGACTGAAGTGGGAGGGAGCCCTGCCAGTGGGAGTAAAGAAACATTCCAGCCTAGAGTCTGTTTGAGGGAGGAAAGGTCTAAGATCAAAACTTTAGGTTTATATCTATTTGTCTTTTCCCAAGGGGAGACGGACAAGCAAGATTCTTGTAATATAGGTGATCAGCAATAAAGTATCTGTTTGGGCCTATCCACAAGTGGTTCTGGCTGCTTGCACCTGACAGTGACCTCTTTTTAATATGAATAACCATGTTCTACTCTAGAATATTGGCCCAAGTTTAGTATTAGTATGAATATTAGCAAAAAAAATAACAACAATAAGAAAAGCATGGTGTTGATGAGAAAGAGAGGGGTACCCAAAGAAGAGAATATTTATACTTCAAGGGAACTGTGGAGGGTACTCTCCGAGTGTGGTTATTTTCTTGCCGATATTTCATTGCCCAATCAGATAACCTCATTAGTCCACTGCAGAAACATCTGCAACACACTGCATCCCTGTTTGGTTTGGTGGCAGCAGTGCCTCAGATAGAAAGTCCATACAGAGAGTCGTAAGGACAGCCAAGAAGATTATAGGAAGCTCACTTCCTGTTATTCAGGATACTGCTTATAAGCTGTATGAGCTTAGAGCTCAAAGCATTGTTAGACCACACACACCCACTTCATGGTGCGTTTCTGATGATCTCCTCTGGGAGGAGCTTTCAAAGTATTTCTAGCAGGACTACCAGATTCCATAAGAGGTTTATTCCCTAGGCCATCCGTCTGGTAAACTTGCAAGATTTGTTTTTCTCGCCATGTACATGATTACATCCGAACTAGACTGGGTTGTTTCCCTGTGTCATATAATATATGTGGGTATGTGCATAATTTTGTATTGATTTATTTAGTCATATCTATGTAGTGTATATTGGCAGTGGTGACCCTTTGTGTATGCAATGAATTTTCATTTTAATCCATGCTGATTAGTGTACATTCAAAGTGACAATGAAGTGATTCTAAGTTCTAAGAAAACAACCAGTCACCAAGGACCTCAAAGAGAGATGGAAGGGAAGGAGAGAAGGAGGGGGAGAGAGAGAGAGACAGACTGGTCAAAGATCAGGAATTTGAACCAACACTTAATGTTCAGTTAGGAGGTTGCATGGATTGATTTTCAGCTAATCAGTAAATCTATAAATACAAGTCAGTGTATAAATATACATAGGATCTGCAAGTAAATGTCACAGTGTGGAAAGGTCTTATTTTGGGTTGCAAACATCCAATCATAACCTCCTTCAGACTGAAAAATGTTTTCCTAATCCTCCCTTCTTCTGCATGGAGGGCGCCTTTTTGTGTATGCAAGGATCTCATGACTGTGCTTTGTCCAGCTATGCTTGGGTATAAACAAAACAACAACGTCCAAATGTTTCCAGTCCTGATCTTGACCTTCCTCTTATTTCATCCAATAGAGAGCGATCCGCGTCCGCAGCCACTCCATGGAAACCATGGTAGGAAGCCAGAAGAAGCACCAGCCTGGAGGAATCCCTGGGAGCTTGAGTGGCGGGATTGTGCACAACAGTGTTGAAGTAACCAAGACCACCTTCTCTGTAAGTGCCATGCAATTTAGAACAATTTAGCTCAGTCCAAAAGAAGGGAAGGGGACATGATGGCTCAACGGTTAAAGACGCTGAGCTTGTCAGCTGAAGTTGAAAGCCTGGGTTCAAGACCTGAGCGCCGCATGATGGGGTGAGCTCTCGTTACTTGTCCCACCTCTTGCCAACCTAGAAGTTTGAAAGCATGCAAATGCAAGTAGATAAATAGGTACCTCTTCGGTACCTCTCTCAATAGTCTAGTACAGGGGTCTGCAACCTTAAACATTCAACCATTTGGACCCATTTCCCACAGAAAAGAAAACACCGGGAGCCTCAAAACCTGGGTAGGTAGGTCTGGCCAACTCAATGTCACTCGCATCCAGTCACATGACCTCCCCCCAGCCATGCCTATCCAGGTTTTGTGGCTCCCAGTGTTTTCTGTGGGAAGTGGGTCTCCCTCCCTCCCCTCTGATTTCCGTTTTCTGTGTTTTATCTTCTCACGCCAGAGGAGAAGTGACTGAGAAGGGAGGGTGAGGGGCGGGGCCAGCCAGTGGTAGGATCATCCAACAGGGAGCCACAGCAGAGGGCCCAAAGAGTTGCATGCGGCTCCAGAGTCACAGGTTGCTGACACCCAGTCTAGTAGTTAAGATGCTGGGCTTGTTGACCGAAAGGTTGGCAGTTCGAGATCAAGTGCTGCTTGATGGGGTGAGCTCCTGTCCTTGCTCCCACTCCCGCTCAAAAGCATGCAAATGCGAGTAGATAAATAGGTACCACTTCAATGGGAAAGTAACAGTGTTCCATACACTTCGGCTTATAGTCATACTCGCCATATGACCACGGAAGCTCAAAATTTCCACTACCGGTTCTCCAGAACTGGTCAGAACCTGCTGAATACCACCTCTGCTTTGGCCTGTGACATTCCAAACATCACTTTCTTTGCTTTAAATCTTGATTGCTTTTTCAAAAGCAAATATCTGGATTGCTCAACTCCATGAATTCTCCACATGCTTTCTCTTTCTGTACACATAAACACAGTATGATCTCTGCCTCACAATGTTTACAGACTGAATGGTGACATTTAATTATAGGAAGAAAGGGTACCAAAGAGGCCAAATTCAATGGAAGGATGTATACAAATAGAATTTAAGAAAATATGGTGTACAGGTAGTCTTTGACTTACAACTGCAGTTGAGCCCAAAATTTCCGTTGCTAAGCAAGACAGTTAAGTGAATTTTGTCCCATTTTCTTGCCACAGATGCTAAGCGAATCACTGCAGTTGTCAAGTTAGTAAACACAGTTGTTAGGTGAATTTGGCTTCCCCCTTGATCGCTTGTCAGAAGTTGCAAAATAGGAGCCAGTTGCCAAGTGTTCAAAATTTGACCATGGGAAAGGTCATAACTGTGAAAAATGGTCATAAGCCACTTTTTTTTTCAGTACCTTTGTAACTTAGAACAGTCACTAAACGGAATGGTTGTAAGTCAAGGACTACATGTAATGTAGTGGTTGAGGTGTTGAAGTTGGACAAGTTATCTAGGTTCAAGCTGTCATTCAACTATGACAGCTTTGAATTGGTGACTCTCATTCTCTCTCAGCTCAGCTTTCCCCACAAGGATCTTGCACTGTGCAATAGAATGAACAGAGGCTTCCATGCAAGAAAATGTAGAATGTAAATGATTGCTAAGCATGTTTGCACAGAACTTGGGATCAATTGTTTCTTTCTTCAGCCTCCGTTAGCAGCAGCAACAGCCAAGAATCAATCAAGGAGTCCTATAAAGAGGCGATCGGGCTTATTTCCCCGTTTGCACACTGGATCCGAAAGCCAAGCAGAACCCCGGAGCCGATGGTAATTCCATAAATATATGTTTATGCACGTGGTGCCTTGTATTGGGGCCTTAGGAGTGTTTTAGCTTAGAGAAACGGCAGCTTCGGGGGCAGAACATGATTGTGTTTTAAAGAATCATGCATCATCATCATTATTTAATGACTCCATAATCCCTTGCGAGGTGGAGTCTGTGCAACTGAATGGAGCTAACAGAGCGTTTACTGGCCGGATGCCCTTCCTGTCCCCAATGCGGAGCTTGAGCAGATATATTTTCGTTGTACCTGGTCATCCCCTACAACTGTTGTGGTTCGCCGGCAGCAGGTGCGGATGGCTGAGGTCTCTGAGAGCGAGGACTCAGATGAGGGGCCTGCGTGTGATGCAGGGATGGGGCCAGGACTATCGGGGAGTGGGGTGCTGCCTTCGGAGCTTGTGGAGTCTGGCAGCAGTGATGCAGAAGACCCCGAGGAGCCTGTGCCCAGTGCGCATGTGCGCAGGGCTGCTTGAAGGAAAGAGCAGCTACAGCAGCACGGGTGACTTGGGAGTAAGGCTGCAAGGCTTTTAAGGGATAAAAGCTAGCCCTCAGGGGTTGGGTTCTTTGCAGGAAGCAAAGAAGTTCTTTCAACTCCAAGCTCTTGTGGAAGTCCTGTCTATTCTGGTTTGTTTTGTTGCCCTTTGGGAAAATTAATCGCCCAGCCCGGGTTAAATGTTGGATTAGGAAGTGGTGACGGCCATTTACCTGGATAGCTTTTAAAAGGAATTGGTTAAGTTCCTGGAGGATAAATCTTATCTATTAATGTTAATTCAGGATTGAGGACAGCATAGCTCCAAATACTAGTTGGAGGTGGAATTAGTAACATGGAAAGTGAAAAAGCAATATGGCTTCATCTGTTGCTTGTGGGGCTCCAGTTGGCCACTGTAGAAAGCAGATATTGGTCCATCGTAGATCTTGACCTAATCCAGCAGAGCTTGTCATATATGGGTAGTCTTCAATTTACAATCACAATTTAGTCTGAAATTTCTGGTTCTAAGAAGACAGTTAAGTGAGTTTTGCCCCATGTTATGACCTTGTTAAATTAATATCATGGTTGTTAAGTGAATCTGGCTTCCCCATTGACTTTGCTTGTTAGAAGGTCACAGAAGGAGATCACATGATCCTGGGACACTGCAACCGTCATAAATATGAATCTGTTGCCAGTCATCTAAATTTAGAATTAGAATAGAATAGAGCTGGAAGCGACCTTAGAGGTCTTCTAGTCCAGCCCCCTGCTCAAGCAGGAGAACCGTTTCAGACAAGTGACTGTCCAGTCTCTTCTTAAAAACCTCTAGTGATGGAGCCCTCACAACTTCTGGAGGCAAGTCATCCCACTGATGAATTGTTAGGAAGTTTCTCCTGAATTCCAGGTTGCTGATCTCCTTGATTAGTTTCCAACCATTGTTTCTTGTCTTGCCTTCTGGTGCTTTGGAGAATAATTTGACCCTCTCTTCTTTGTAGCAGTCCCTTAAATACTGGAATAATGCTAACATGCCCCTCTCCCCACGTCCTTCTTTTCTTTAGACTAGCCTGGGGTCAGCAACCTGAGGCTCTGGAGCCGCATGTGGCTCTTTCATCCCTCTGCTGTGGCTCCCTGTCACCAGTCAGCTCCACAATTGATAGGGCTTTCAGTTAGGACAGGTGGGGGAACCGGACTTCCAGTCAGCAGAGAAAAAAGGACGCCACGCTAGGAGGAGACGCTATGGTGGGGGAACCGGACTTCTGGTCAGCTCCAGAATTGAACAGGAAGCTTCCGGTTAGGACCTTTGTGGTTCTTTGAGTGTTTAAGGTTGCTGATTCCTGGACTAGCCAAACCCAAATTCTGCAGCTGTTCTTCATGTGTTTTAGTCTCCAGGCCCCTGATCATCTTAGAGCAACTACTCTCTGAACTTTTTCCAAAGCCTTTGATCACCTTGATCATGGATCTGCCACCTTGGTTGTAAGTGTGACAAATGGTCACGAGTTGCTTTTTTTTCAGTGCCACCGAAACTTCAGACGGCAGAAAACGAATGATTGTAAGTCAAGGACTACCTGTGTATCTTAGATTCTTCGCGGTAGCAGTTGCTAAACCAGATTCTGTTTGACGTTGAGACTTTTTGCTTGAGAGAACTGTGGTTTGATATTCCAAAATCTCTAACATGGGATGAATTAGGTATGAGATAACGAATTCGTTGCCTTGACTACGCTCACGGCCCACATTTGCAGTTTTATAAAAGGGTTACAGAACTCCAGTTAAGTTGCATTAAGGTTGTCTAGATAATTGTTGGAAATAAAATGGATCAAATTATAACGCATTGTAAAAAGAACTACTAGATTACTCAAATTGTTAAGTGTTGTATGCTGAAAACTAATTCAGAAAATTACTATAATGGATATACTGAATTTATTATTAGTGAATAAAATGTCAAAATATTAAACTACTGAGTTGTTAAACAACCCAGTGACATTTATATCCCGTTTCCCCGAAAATACGACCTACCCTGAAAGTAAGTCCTAGCTTGATTTTTACATGTGCGCCCAATATAAGACCTACCCCCCAAAATAAGCCCTAATTAAGATCCCGCCCACTCCAGAGTGGATGGGTAAAAATTAAACTAGGATGGGGATATGGGGGTGGAGCTGTCCTACTATGTACCTTTGGATAGTTGTAGCCAGGCCTCGCACACCCCAACACCTGCCTTGCCGGCCCATTTCTTCTATAGCCAGCAAGGCTGGCAAGGCTTTCCCGAAGGCCTCTGTAGCTGATAACAAAGCTCTGGATCGATCCAGAGTTCCGTTATCGGCTGCAGAGGCCTTCAGGAAAGCCTTGCCGGCCGCAGAAGAAGTTCCTGAAGGCCTCTGACAGAGAAAAGGGGTGACGCACGCAAATGAAGTTGGTCAATGGAGGACATTCCCCCAAATTAGAGCTGGTGCCTTTTTTGGTGGCAAAAAAAATATAAGACAGGGTCTTATTTTGGGGGAAACACGGCATTAACACAGACTTACTGGCATGGTCCCGTAGGCATGTGCATAGACACATTCTTATATAACTTTACTAGATAATCTGTGACTCCTTGAGTCATTGTTTCAGAGATATTTCCTTACCAGATTCCTCCATGCCTTCAACAACATTAGAGCTTCTAATGTGCTTCCTTTTCTGGAAAAGTTCTTAAAAATTCAGAGAGATATTTAGAGATGAGCCTATGTTGAAACTGTACAGCACATTCACACTTCAGTGGGTGACCACAAGAAATGTTTTATGACATTTTGAATTAGGTCATAAAATGCTTTACGATAATTTATATGTTGTACATGTCTACACCTGTATGTGTTTAATATATACGTACATACATACCTACATACATACCTACATACATACATACATACTGGTTGTTAATATTCTAAGCAGTTCGGAGAATCGGTTGTTAGAAGAAATTACAGGGCTAATCCTGTAAGGAAGGCAGGAAGGAAACATTCTGGTGTTGCTCACAGAAACTGCCTCTCCGTTAACCCTTATTACATTCTTGGCAGGACTAGACTTCCTGTCTCTGGAACTTCTCTGGAGTATATATATATATAATATATATTCACTGCCTTGTTTAATAATTCAGTAGTTTAATATTTTTATATTTTATTCACTAATAATTAATGCAATATATTTATTATGGTAATTTTCTGAATTAGTTTTCAACATATAATACTTAACAGTTTTAGTAATCTAGTATTCTTTTTATATTTGTACTGTAAGTCATAAAATCTGTTACAAAATTTTCCAAATTTCAATTCCACAAGAGTCATGGGTTCCAGATTTTGGATGCAATCTATAAATCAGTATAGTTCAAAAATTGCTGCTCTATGATCCATCGTTTTGCTGAGTTAAAGATTTCATACAGACAAAAAAAAAAGAGAGAGAGAATTGTAGTTACACATAGATTGCATTTAGTGATCCATCACATGTGACAACTTCCCCCACCATAAAGCAGCATAAAATTATAAACAATGTTATTCAGTTGTCAAATCCTAAAATTAAGATGATTTTGTCCTGTGTAAAGCAACGCTTCTCTAGGTCTTCTAGAAATGATGTTACTTAGTCAAATAAAGAAAGGACTGCAAGCAAACAACCAAGTTCAGAAAACACCAAGGACTCCACGGAAAGTAAAATAAAAATCTAGTGAATTAATAAAAAGGATGCTTTTTTATAAGTAAACAAACAGGTTTTAGTTTAAGCAGGCTTAGTGCTTCTTTTATTCATAACTCATAACTGATTATCTAACTACTATATATGTGTCTGTAGCCAAAGCTTTGCTTTGAGCAATTCAATTCGCCTTTGGATTGTGGCCAACACAGACAGTTTGGTCTTGTTTTTTCATTGAAGATGTTTCGCTTCTCATCCATGAAGCTTCTTCAGCTCTGACAGGATAGTGGGGAATGGAAGGATTTATGCTTCTTGCAGAACAAGGAGTAGGAATGAGAGTAGGAATGGATTTCCAGAGAAAAAGAATTGCAGACTACAGGAACCAGGAGCACCACTCAGGTGACCCTGAGGACACAGCTAAACCTCCTAGTGCGTCAGTGACCCTCCAAAAGGATGCAAATGACCAGCTCTCTGCAAGGAGCTTAAATTCTTCCATTCCCCACTATCCTGTCAGAGTTGAAGAAGCTTCTTGGATGAGAAGCGAAACATCTTCAAAGAAAAAAAACAAAAAGTCCAATTGCCTCCCGAAAAAGCACCCTTGGGACATCTTTGTTGGCTGTAAGAAAAAAGAACAGAAGAAGAAAAAGTGTGCCCCTCTTTCTTTTCATATATTCAGTCCCTAGATTGTAGTCTTTTTGGTTCCTAGCTTTGGCTGGCACCCAGAAACCCATCATCTGGATTGTCCTAGATTTGCTGCATCAATTTGCAATGTGGGAAAGAAAGATACTCCTATTAACTTTTCCCTTGAGGAGCCTCTAAACCACCCTCTTCCTATATCGCAGTTTGAAAACTGGGACAACAGGATATTGGTGGCTTGAATCTGAGGCTAGAAATAGATAAGCCAATGCAAGAATCACGGCTGTGACAATGGATAGCAACCAGGAGACCTAAATTCAGGTCCATATCTGTAGGAATGAAAATAACTATTTGTGTCCCATGATAAAGTTTATTATTCCATGTTTCAGACTGGTGCTGAACTTCTCTCTCTCTCCAGAATATCCATAGGAGTTTAGCAGGTGGTCTGGGGTTAGTCACTCTTACAGTTTATCTGTTTCACTGGGTTGTTTTATGCTAAACCTGATAATTGTGATGATGGTATCCACAGTACACTATTTCCCTTTATTCTGTGGTCTCTCTGGTGGTCTCTGGGCTTGACTGCTTGCTTGCAGAAGTTTCATGACCCAACTGGGTAACATCATCAGTGCTAGTGAATAGTGGGTTTATTAGTTTGCCCTGCCAGTTTTTGCAGGGATGTGGTTTTCTCCTTGGTAGTTCCTTCATTAGGGTATAGTTTTCTGTTTGATTGCTTGTCTGGCGTTAATCCCCGTTTATCTGGAGAAGATGTGCTGTAGTCTTGTTTCCTTCTGGTTTATTTTTTTATGGTCTCTTTTGGGTGGTATCTAAGTTTATGCTGGGGCTGCTTTAATTCTCTTCTGTTGGTCCCTTTCTCCATAGTGACAGTGGCTCAGGAACACCCAAAACCCCCGATGGAGGGCATTCCTCCCTTGATATGAAATCAGAGGCTTCCTCGAACCCAAGCTCTCCAGAAATCTGTCCCAACAAAGAGAGGTAAAAGCAAGGTGCAATTTTAAACTCATTGGTTGATGGCATTCAAATGGAGTCATGATTTTCTGGGATTCAGGTTAGTGACATCCACTAAAAGCTGTGGACTCACCATTTCACATGTGAAACGATCCACCACTAAAGTTTTCAGGAATCAATGGATACTCCAATACAGCTCATCGGTCTGGAATCCGCACTGTATATTGCAGTGGTCCCCAACCTTTTTTGTACCACGGTCCGGTACAATCCACGGACCGATCCACGGACCGGTACCGGCATCAGTATGCACGACCAAGGCAAGGCAAGCCGAGCGACCGGCCAGCCAGCCGTCCCCCGCTTCTCCCCGCCACCTTCAACTCCTCCTTTGTACCTTCTCGCGGTCGATGGGCTTTTCGGGCTCTTTCTTAATCTCCTCCTGAGTAACGCGAGACTCCACCGCCATCGGGACGGCTCTTAGTTCGAAGCCGCCCCCCCCTTCGACGAAACTAAGGTGCGAGGATTCCTTCAGCACCCAAACGCCGCTTTCCAACCGACGACCGACAAGCTCACCCGGAAGCACTTTCTCAAGCGCCGTCAAAACAAGATGGCGGCGCCCAAGCAAAATAAGCGGCCCGGTACAAAATGATCCACGGACCGGTACTGGTCCGGGGCCCGGTGGTTGGGGACCACTGGTATATTGGACATTAATACAATGGAGTGAGTCCAGAAGTATTTCACGAGAAGAGTACTACACTCCTCTGCTCGCAACAAAACACCCTATATCAACAGGCTTGAAATTTTGGGCTTAGACAACTTTGAACTACACCACCTACAGTTGGACTTAAGTGTAGTACACAAAATTATCTGCTACAATGTCCTACCAGTCAATGACTACTTCAGCTTCAACTGCAACAATACAAGAGCACACAACTGATACAAACTCAATGTAAACCGCTCCAAACTTGATTGCAGAAAATACGACTTCAGCAACAGAGCGGTCAATGCCTGGAATGCACTACCTGACTCTGTTGTTACATCCTCTAACCCCCCCCCCACTCCTTTACCCTCAAACTATCCACTATTGACATCACCCTGTTCCTAAGAGGTCTGTAAGGGCGTGCATAAGTGCCCCATCGTGCCTACCGTCCCTGTCCATTTATTCGTACCTATTTCCTGTATTCTTACTCATGTTACTTATACATATTATCTTGTAAGTGATTGACAAATCAAATCAACAAACAAACAAACAAGCAAACAAACTCAAAAACGATGCAAGCAAATGGTGGAGTGGAGGAGGCTTTTCTGACTCTTGGAATACATCCTCTGCTTGTTGGAGTCATCTATTGACTTCAGGGTTGGAGGAACAAAGGGACAAATTATACAGACAATGTCAACTTGTAGTTGATGTCCTTTCTGCAAATTCTCCTTTCTTTTCCAATCTGGGTATAATTTAGCTGTGGGATTGTTTTGAGGCTTTTCTTTGTGGAGTGAGAGGAAGGTGGTCCTTTTCCTGGGTTTGTCTCTGCATGGTCTTGACATTCTTAGCCTTCTAAAAGGCCATGAAGACCTGGGTTTTCTTCCACACATGGAAATTTGGATGTTGGGGAATCCTAACATATGCCTCCTGATGCATTTCTGTTTTTCTCTCACTTTCTGCCAGGCCTTTCATTAAGCTCAAAGAGAATGGAAAGTCAAATATTTCCCGTTCATCCTCAAGTACCAGCAGTTTCAGCAGCACTGCAGGAGAGAGTGAAAATATGGAAGAATACGAAAACCTGGTAAGACTGCTCTCTGCTCTTGATTGATCTGAGGTGGCAAAAGCTCCTGAACCAAACAGAATTCTTTTAGCATATTATGTATTAAATCATTAGCATCTTTCTCCTCAGCTGCCATCAGCAGAGTTGCATAACTCTTGTTTCCTCTTATGTTTGCCAGCCCCATCAGGTAGAACTGACTAGGACAGGTGACTCCAAACTTGGCACCTTTAAGACCTGTGGACTTCAACTCCCAGAATCCCTCAGTCAGTATGGCTGGTTGAGAAATTCTAGGAGTTGAAGTCCACAAGTCTTAAAGTTGTCAAATTGGGAAACCCTAACTAGAATATCAAATGTCACAGGAAGGTTAAGGCTACTTCATTGAGAGTGGTTAAAAGAACACAATTTTGCAAGTCTGAGGATGTTTTACCACCCCTCCTTCTTATACATACGCAAATTGGGAAGGTGTCTATTTGAGCAGCTTACACCTCCTTTCGGCTTGTTTTAGATTTAAGTCATGGTTTTCTTCTCATAGCTTTGATAATAAATCTAGCCTGTCTTACCCAAAGCCATTTATTTACTCGGAGCTCTTTCTAAACAATAGCAATTTTATTCAAACAAGTTATTTTGGTTTAAATTACAGTACAGTGTTCTCACCTTAGCAACAGTGCTAATATATTTACTTTATTAAAAGGGCCATTCTTTCATTTTTCTATGCTTATATACCCCTGAATCTTAAAAGGTCTCAGCAATTTATAATGCAGTGAGCTAAGAAATGGCAACATTAACTTTTCCTTCCTCCCTCCCTTCTTTCCTTCTTTCCTTCCTTCTTTCATTCCTTCCTTCCTTCCTTCCCTCCTCCCTTCCTCCCTCCTTCCTGTTATGTCAAGAGATTGGTTTTAACATCAAAGGAAGGAAGTTGAGATCATTGTAAGAGACATATATTATTTTCACTGGTTTTGTTTTATTTTTTTTGAAAAATGTATTCTGCACAAAATGTATTCTGGACTCCTTTAAGAGAAAAGGTGGTGTATAAAATTAAATAAAACCGACACTTTCTTTAATTCACAGGGCAGCCAGTCCTCAACTGCATCACCATATAAGCAAGACGTATTTGTTTACAGTCCTTCCCAAAGCATCGAGAATCCAAATTTAGCATCAGCCTCAACCCCTGTTATCATGAGCAGGAGCCCCACTGGTGAGTTTGACTAAACCCTGTCTGGATGGGCTTTGAATGACGTCACTGGTGAAGAGGACCTAGTAGGTAGGCTTAGCGTTGTGTTTTGGAATAGGAACTTTGTAGTCTAGTTAATTGTGCCGAGAGTTTCCTGGTGGTCACCCATGTAAATATTAGCCAAGCCCATGCCTGCTTAGAGATATGGATATAGTTATGCTTCAAATGCAGGCAGGGCCTGATGTGTGTATCACATCAGAATATAGAGCCATTTGCAAGTGCCTTTTGCAGCCTGAGTGCTTGCCCCACTCATACATCAAAGCTATCCAGATAGTTTTGGTCACCACACTATAAAAAAGATGTTGAGACTCTAGTAAAAGTATAGAAAAGAGCAATAAAGATGATTAGGGAACTGGAAACTAAAACATACGAAGAACGGTTACAGGAACTGGGCATGGCTAGTCTAGTGAAGAGAAGGACCAGGGGAGACAGGATAGCAGCCTTCCAATATTTGAGGGGCTGCCACAGAGAAGAAGGGGTCAAGCTAGTTTCCAAGGCACCTGAAGGCCAGGCAGGGAATAATGGATGGAAACTGAACTAGGAGAGATTCAACCTGAAAATAAGGAGAAACTTTCTGACAGTGAGGATAATCAACCTATGGAACAGAAGTTACCTTTGGAAGTTGTGGGAGCTTCATCACTGGAGGCTTTCAAAAAGAGACTGGGCTGCCATCGGTCAGAAATGGTATAGGGTCTCCTGCTTGGATGGGGGTGGGTGGACTAGATGACCTACAAGGTCCCTTCCAACTCTGTTATTCTGTATTCAGATAGTTGAATCTTACTCCCAGATTAACAGAAGACCAGACTCCCTATATTACAGAGCTGACAGATAGAGAGACTGGCAAACACCATTAATATTCCACAGGTTATGTACGGTCTCTGTTTTGCCAACTGTCAGAGTGGTGCCCAGCCAATTGGTTCTTTTGGACCCAGATAAGCACACCAGTAAATAAAAGGGATTTTAGGCTTTATTATTAGCTCAAACAGATTTAAACACAATATAAAAACCATACATACCAAGCAAGATCAAATCCAAATTACTTATAAGCTGTCAGGAGCACCTTAATAATCACAGCACAGATACACCAATTAGCATCCAATTTCACAATATCCAATGCTAGGTTAGCACAAACAACCCCAAGGTTTTTTAATCAAATCAGGCACCATGACCTTGTGGTCCTGTTATGGTCAGAAGACTTCAAGACCTGACCTTGACTGGCTGGCACAAGACTTTGAATTGAAAGTTTGAGATTTTCACAGGAAGAAAAGCTTTGCAGGTATCTGAAGATTCCTTCCCCTTCTCCTTTATTCAGTAAACAAAAGTTTTTAAAAAAAGAAGGTTAGGGTAAAGAAATTGCTCTAAACTTCTAGAATTTTCTTACTTTTTTTCTTAAATTTTCTAAAAAAAAATGAAGGAGAAATCAAAACATATCACTGACCTCAGAATAACAACCATCTTCCTCATTACCATTGCTGTCTCCTGATTTATATCAGCATATATGTTTTGAATAAATTAATCAAGCAAGCAAGCAAGTAACTAATTTGCCACAACTATTTAACTCTTCTCTTTAGCTGACACCTGAGGTGTGTGTTTGTGTATATGTGTGTGAGAGGGAGAGAGAGAGAGAGAGAGAGAACATTGCATATGTGTAAATATTGGTATTGCTGTGAAACAATCATTGCTGGGATTTTCATTCCTTTGGTTTTTTTTAAAATAAACTTTATTGGTTTTACAATTAAAATAAACAAACACATACACAACATAGAAAAATAAAGAAAACAAAGAGGTTAAGCTACAACTGTAGTAATTATATACTTGCATTAAGATTTAATTGTAAATAGGACACCAATAATGATACAAATAAAGAACCACAAACTGTTGATAATGGAATTGTTTTTTATTTGTTTTTCTTGTTTTAATGGATATCAGTTCTGAATCTTCCAAATAAATAATTAGAAAGTAACTGATTTGGGTTGGGTTTTTTTGCGGGTTTTTTTTTTTTTGTATTGTTCCACAGATATAAAAAGCAGAAATTCTCCGAGATCAAATCTAAAATTTCGCTTTGATAAACTTAGCCATTCAAGCTCTGGCCCGGTAAGTAAAGATGAACGTAACTACCTTCCCTTAAATCAGGGCAGGGACTTGCTTTGTTACTTTTGAATGCTTAACATCTGACTCCAATGAGTATTGGTGACTTGTGGTTGCATTTAGTGAGATACAATTCTTCTTTGGTTAAAAGAAGTTTTATCTTTTCCAAGATTGATATGGTAGCTGAATGATGCTTGGAATATATGCCTTTAAGTTATGGAGGTGCTGATTGAATGTTTCTTTAACTCAAAGATGTTTCTTTTGGGACCATGTGGCTACTGTCCAAACCCAGAAAAAGGCTTTGCATCTTTAAGGAGACCTGAATCGATGCAGTCAGGGCTCACTTGTTCCCCTCCAAATCATCTTTTCCACTTTGGATCTCATGAACTCTCTCAAATGATGTAGTAGAATAGATTGTCACCGGAGTCCTGTTTGTTTCATTTTTTTAAGCCCAGGGAAAAGTAAAAAATTCATGGAATTAAAAAAAAAAATCTGGCAAGTTTTGAAGTATTTATAATGCAAGAGCTGTAGCCACTCGTTCTATTCTATAACTGATAGTGAATTGATCTAAAAGAACCTTAGAAAAGAACTTAGAAAGAAACAAGGCTGAAATAAAAGATCTGTAGTTACTGTTGTGCTTGGGTGTATGTCAAAAAAAAGCAGAGGATTAGAGGCATTGGAGTCTGGCTAATGTAGAGGGTCAGAGGAGATTGTAAAAATGCTTATATAATTAACAGAACATGTTTCCTTTGTTCGCAGACACATTAGTTGAAGAATGACCCCTAAGGACCTGTAAAAGGTAACTTATATTTAGCCCATATATTTAATGCCAAGTATTGACGACAATAATGACAGGCAGGATATTTTTTCCAGTGGGTACAATTTTTTTTATTATGATTATTATGGGCCTTTTGAGAGTTGCAAAGGGTACAACGATCAGTTGCAATAAAAAAAAAAAAGGCAAGACGCTGGTTTTGACTGCAAAGAAAGCTCATTTAGACTTTCAGAAAGGACTTTCATTACAAAATTGTGACTCCCCTCAGACTCTTTTTGGGTCACCTCTGTATGACCACAGTTTTGCAATGATCTCACTAAAGTGGCAGGACTTGAATACTTGACCCATTTTCCCCCCAACATGTTTTGCTGAGTCGGTTTATTTTATTATTTTTTTAAAAAAACCACCAAATACATTAAATGCTGGTCTTACCCAGCTGTTTCATAGTTTGATTCAGCAGCAAATTGGCAAATGTCAATGCCGTGACAGTTTCATTTTTTTAAAGTTGCTATTTTGCTGCCAAGAATTTCAGCAGCCGATCCTGAAGGTGGTGGACATTGGGATTACAGGTCCGCAAGTAGGGAGGACCTGGTCATTGGAACTTCACATCTGTCTCGTAAGTTCCATTTTGGGGAGAGGTGTCCATCATAACTTCAAATCGATGCTAAGTCTGTAGAGATTCTCAGCCATCCAGGTCATGGTCCTCCCAAAGGTGCTTTTTTCAGGAGGCAGCTGGACTTGCTTGCATTTTCTTTGAGGAGGACATAGAATAACCTCCAAGTGGCCTCAACGACCCTCTAAAACAGGGGTGTCCAACCTTGGCAACTTTAAGACTTGTGGACTTCAACTCCCAGAATTCCTCAGCCAGCTTTGCTGGCTGAGGAATTCTGGGAGTTGAAGTTCACAAGTCTTAAATTTGCCAAGGTTGGACACCCCTGCTCTAAAAGGATGCAAATGACCAGCTGTCTGCGAGGAATATAAATCCTTCCATTCCCCACTATCCTGTCAGAGCTGAAGAAGGGTTTCAAAGCCCTCCAAAGTAAAAATCCTCCAAATATGTTGTGGCAGTGAGTTCCATTAATGGAGCCTATTTGAAAAGCCATGTTAGTTAATGGCTCTCAAAGCTTCTCTCTAAATGTGTTTTTAAAGAATTAAAGAAGGTTATTCTTGATGTAGGTATGGATGACTTCCAAGCCTAATTTCCTTTTTTCTTCTCCCATCTTTTGCAGGACATTTTTTTGTTGTGTTTGTCTCATTTTAAAGAGGGTGGGAGGGAGGACGTTTGTTTCAAATGAGAGCACCCTCCACCACACCAAGCTCCACAGCCACTTATGGATTGCCCTTCATCCGAGCAGATCATTCCATAAAACCAGGGAAGAAGAGATCTCGTCCATGGCCCTCATCCATGCTTTATCCCTCTGGAATGGAAGGATGTCCCACGGAGGACCCAAATCGTCTACCACATACTGTAGACCTGAATTGTCTTTTTTCATTTGGTCTATCAACCGATTGGTAACATTGTGCGTAGCTGTTGAGCTTGAGATCTTGCTTTTGGGGTAAATCTTTAGATGTCAATAATAATGATAATAATGATAATGATAATGATAATGATAATGATAATAATAATAATAATAATAATAATAATAATAATAATAATAATAATATCAACACTTGCCTATCTCAGGTCCCTGGGAAGGGTGGATAAAAAGGTCCCTGGGATAGGTGGATAAAAAGGCCAAATCCAGTCTAAACACCCAATGTGCGACAAACCATAATCACAACCCCACCATGGATACCCCCTTGTCGTAATCATCATCATCACCAGAAGTGTCAAACTCAATTTCATTGAGGTCCGCATCAAGGCTGTGGTTGACCTTGGGGTGTGTGGGTGTGGCCTACTGGGTGGGCATGGCCAGCTTGACACCACTCCCTAAACTGCTGGCATATTTCCTCTTCACATCAGGTAGACCGGGCCGAAACCAGGCTGGCCTGATCTTCCCTCTTCACATTGGGTAGACCAGGATGGCCCCGCAGGCTGGATCCAACCATATTGCGGGCTGCATCTGCCCCACGGGCCTTGAGTTTAACACCCCTGATCATCACAATACTTTGCTGTTTTGTGGGCTAATTTCTTACCTAATTAAGACCCCATCCCCTGGATTTAAGTGATCTTTTTTTTTTTTCTTATGCTATTATTATTCCACACGAAGTTGGTGCTGAGCCAAGAATTCTCTTCTGCCTTTTGAGCATTCCATGTGATTGGAAAGGAAAGGGCATCGGGGTTTTGCTTTGAAAGGAAGTGTTGATGGCTATCAGAAGGGTGGGATGGAAGGGATGTGCCCAGACCTTACTTAACAGGTAGCCATAAAAGGTGCACGTGAACATTTTCATTTGTATAGTTGTCACTGGTTTGCGGTCTCCCTGAAAGCTAGTTTGAGAGGGAGAGAGGGAAGGAGGGAGAGGGAGGGGGGAAAAAGATTTCTGAATTTGGTGGTTTTCTTGCAGATATTTCATTACCCAACTAGGCAGAGCTGGGCTTCAAAATTTTTAGCAAGGGGTTCTCTGCCCAGTTGCTGGGTGGATGTGTCCATGGTGGGCATGGCCTAGTCAGCTTCCTGCATCATGGTGGGGGGGAGGGTTTGCCCTCCCTGGGCTCTGGAGGTTTTCCTCGAGCCTCTGAGAGGGCAAAAATGGCCTCCCCGGGATCCGAAGGTTCTCTGGAAGCTGGAAACAGGCCTGTTTCCGGCCTTCCTGAACGTCTGGGAGGCCCATTTTTCACCGTCTCTGAGCCTCCGTGCGCATCCTGCTCTTACGTGCATGTAGAACGGGCCGCGTGGGGACTCCTGGTAGGAGGAGTGGGGCAGGGCAGGGTGGGTGGCGCCAGCCAGGAGTGGGATTTGGGGGTTCTCTGAACTGTACAGATGTATTCTCCCGAGCCCCTTCCAAGCCCCCAGCGGCCCAGCCCTGCAACTAGGTAACATCATCAAGGCTAGGAGAGAGTGGGGTTTCCTCTTTTTTTTCTATAGCTGTGTCCTGCCCTGTCAATGTAGGGCCAGGGCAAGCCGTTACTAGATTAAAATAAGAGCAAACCCCCACTCCCTCCTAGTTTCTGCTACGTGTTTTGGAGCAAGGAAAGAAAAAGTTTGGAAAACACTGTGTTAGAAGTTGGAAAAAAATCTAGACACAAAGAAGGAATGCAGGTCAGCATCACTGGGATTAATAATTTCTTCTGTCCAATGGCCAATTAGTTTTGGATATGGAAGAGGAACAGGAATTCTGCTGCTGTGGTTTGGACTGCAAAAACCTCTGTGCTTTTGTTACAGATCGATAAATACTCTGCGGCCCTTTTGTATATCTGTGCAGTGTCACCACGCACCTATAATAGGGCTTTCATGCTGCCAACAAAACTCTGCTTGCTTCTTCTTCCACCCTGATGGTCCCACTGCTAGAATTTTTTTTCCTGTTGGCTTCTTACATTGGAGACCATCCTTACAGCTCTCTTAAGATGAACCTGCAAAAATTGGTCTCACTGAGGTTGTGATACGCCTTCACCACTGGAAGCTTGCTGACACAGTTGTTCTTAGGAGGAGGGGTGGTTTTTTGGGGGTCATTTTATGTTGCACATTGTCCATTAGATTCAGGTCAGGCCCCGCTTGGACAGTTTGGAAAAATAGCTTGATTTGTCTTGGCACCTATTGAGAGGTCTTGTGTCTCAGCAATGTCTCCAAATTTGAAAGCCAAACCAATAATTACAGCAACTGGAGCACCACTTGAAAACCTTCAGCCCTGACAAAATCGCCGTCGGTCAATTGCAAAAGGCAGCTTTACTGGGAACAGCTTACATTCTAATGTAACCAACACAGTTTACATCTAATCTTAATCTGCTTCACACAGACAGTACTTAACTACAGCCTAGGAACAAGTGCCAGCCAATCAAACAGTCTGAAATCAGACCATGACTCAGAAATACCCCAACAAACAACATTCAGGCTAATTTGCATCTCATAAGAAGGTATTTAAAGGCCTGTGTTCTGACAGACGAGCACAATTCAAAACTCACTGACGATGTCTCCTTGAATGGTGATGAAACGTTTGCAATCAAATTGCCAAGTTCAGCGCTCAAACCAACAGCCTAACTACCAACCCAAGCTACTAAATATTCAAACAAATTTCAAACAGCTTGCATCCTACGACAATACCTTTAATACAATCAAACATCCACATCTACTTGTCCCAGGTCCTTGGGAAGGACTCGATAAGTGGATAAAAATGCCAAATCCAGTTTGAACATCTGGCTGACTGTGCAGTGAACCATAGTAATAATAACTGGAGGACCACTTGAACACCATCGGCATTGACAGAATCACCATCAGTCAATTGCAAGAGTTACCTTTACTTGGCATAGCTTACTTCCTGTGGTGGTATCTTTAACAACATCTTCTGCTTTGAAAGACCCAATAGATGGATAAAAATGCCAAATCCTGGCTGACAGTGTGATAAGTCACGTGGGATTTCTGAATCTGATCTGATAAACTCTTGATCCAGAAGCTGAAGAAGCTTCTTGGATGAGAAGCGAAATGTCTTCAAAGAAAAACCAGAAAGTCCTGTTGCCTCTTGAAAAAGCACCTTTGGGACAACCATGATCTGGATGACTGAGAATCTCCATAGATATTCTTGACCCATAATACACAAGAGATTTAACTGTGGTGGAAAAGAAGAAAGCGGTAGCTAATTGATGTGGCTGTCTACTAAATACTTCTTTGGTCTTTTTAGTTGCCAACGGAAAGGGAATGGGGAAAGTAGTGCATTCCTTAAATGCTTCAGATAATTGCTAGGCAGCCAAAGCTGTTGGCGCACAAGATTATTACTGGAGAGCTTGATTGATGACTCTTCGCTATAGATATGTCCCATTGGAGAATATACATCCAGGGGGTGGGGGGAAGACCAGTTCAAGGGGGAAATGAATGATGTGTCTTCGTGCCTGCTGCACCCAGGAAACACCGACATGGTCACTCCTAATAAATCTTTTTTTTTTACTCTGAGAGATGCGGCTAGAGACTTGTGATTTGAATGGGGGTGGATTTGTTGGAGCCCTGACAGAAGCAATAATGGGATAGTAGGAGACAAACAATTGGAGAAGATCGCAAAGTAGCAAGATCTAAAAAAAAAAATCAAAGTTGAAAGATTATGGCATAAACTGGTCGTGGTAGTCCCAGTGGCTTTTGGCACACCGGGTGCTATGCCCCAAAATCTTGGACAGCACTTAGAAAATCTGCACATTGCCAAATTTCCATCTGTCAATTACAAAAAGCCACACTGTTTTCATCCACGCATATCCTAGGACCTACACCAATATATTATGACATCATCCTAGATTCTTGGGAAGAGCTTGATGCATATAAAGGCCAACATCAATTAAACAACTGTTGTGTATATAATAATAATTGACACAAATCACCATCAGTCAATTGCAAAAGCCAGCTTTACTTGGAACAGCTTACATCCTGCAAGAATATCTTGAATATCATCAAACCACAATGACTGCCTCTCCCAGGTCCTTCGGTGGGTTTGATAAGTTGACAAGAACTCCAGTCTGGCTGACTGTGTGATCAACCATATTAATAAATTGCAAAAAGCAGCTTTATTTGGAATAGCTCACCTTCTGAGTCCATGCCTTTATTTATTGATCCTTAATTCCTTCCTCATCCTTTATTTCAAAACTGCATTTTCTTAGTTGGATTTCATCAACAGAATCATTTAAAAAAAGTGGGGAGGGGGAAAATGAAGAGCTTGCTCTTCAAGAGAACACAGCTAATAAAAATGATCAGGACAAACAGACCTTCAATCTATCAAACAGATGGCCATGTTTTTCATTCAAGACGAGGGAGGAATAGTTTCATATTATTAAACAGCAACATCTGCGTATCTCAGGTCCTTGGGAAAGCCTGGATAGATGGACAAAAATGCCAAATCCCGTCTCAACATCTGGCTGATTGTGTGACCAGCCATAATAAATAATTTTTATTTATTGAAAGTCTGGCAATTACAAAGTACAAAGCAAGATCTTTAGTCAATAGACGACGCTGCTCAACTTCAGGCTTGTCCGTGAAATGAACTTTTTGCAGCTTTTTCCCCCCTCCAAACATCCTTTTTTAAAAAAATTGCTCCCTGGCTGCCATCTAAAAAAAGAAGGGAACGGGTCTGGAATTTTCATCTCTATTTTGGTGAAATTTTGGGGTGGATTTTTTTGTGTGTGTGTGAAATGGGCATGAAATAAAAAGGGTTCAACCCCCTCTCCCCCCCCCCCAGGAAATGGAGAGCATCTATTTTTACTTAGTTAAAAAATTTTTTAATGCAACTTTTTTTTAAAAAAAGTCTCACATTTATGACTGTCGCCACCTCACTGTAGTCACACGATCAAAATTCAGGCACGTGGCAACCACCATGTATTGATAGTACTCAAAGAACAGCTCATTTAGTGACCCAAGTTACAAGGGCGCAGGAAAAAGTGACATAGGACCATTTTTCACACACATTGCAGCATTCCCCAGGGTCATGTGATCAAAGT